ATAAAAATTTTTGGCAAATTACAGCTCTCTTGAAATTTATTTCCTGATAAAAATAATAAATAACAGTCAAGTCAAATCATTTTCATTCTCAAGATGTCAGTTTCTCCTTTCTGTGCACACCAAATTTTAGGAATTCATTTGGGTTGAAAGTGAGTAGCTAAGTGGAGATTCCTGCATGTCATCTTGTCACTTCTTTGGTACACGGCTTTGCACTGGAGTGAAGTGTGCATGGGAATCACTCACCTTATCTGTTAAAATGCAGAGTCCTGGGTCCCACACCAGACCTACTGAATCAGCATGGGTACTGGCAGGTTTCTGTTCTATGAAACTCTGCTTCCAGTAATTGTCAAATATACTGTTGGTTCAGCACCATGACTTACTCATTACCACCTAGGAGTACAGCAGAGGCTAACATGGTCAGGGTAGAGATTTTTTCCTCCAGTTAATAAGACAGATGAATGTCTGAATGTTTAAGTGATCACTTCTAGAACAATTTCAAACTAGATATTCAAACAGCATAAGTCATATGATCAGAAGAAAGGTTTCTCAAGAATTTCAGCTAAAAGGCAGCAATTAATCATGAGAGAATTCACTGTGAATAAATAAGTGAATTGGGCAGGACTACAGACAGTCTCAATGCCAGGTACATTCTCCTAAAGCCCAGCCTTAGCTTATTTTACAGATGAGAAAACTGAGGGTAAGATTAAGATTAAGAAACATGCATAAGGTCCCAGGGACAGTATATGATGGGCTAGGCTATATTTTCATGTCAGCTTGTCCTCACCATCACTCAGTACAATAGATAGGGTTTCCTCCATTTGAAAAATGAGGAAATGGATGTTCAGAGAGGTTAAGAGGCTGGCCCAAAGTCACACAGCTAAGCAATTAGTAGAGCAAATATTCCCAGGGAACTTCTGATTGATGCCAAAGTGTATCAACTACTGGACTTTATTAAGAGCTAAAACATCCTCTATGTTTATGAATAAAAAGATTACCAAATCTCCATGGGGAAAATCTGTTCTAGGAGGATAGAAACTCTTCAGTAAATAGAAGAGTTTTTTTTTTAATTTTTTAAATAACACTTCTTTATAGAATTCCTTTTCTTGTTCTTTCCTAAGCAATCTGAAAAGTAATTGCTAATATATCAACAGTTATTAAGAGATACATCCCACTGCATTAGTACCGCAAAATTAAAGATCTAAGTAGAGGATTCAAGCACCGTAAACACAGAAGAGTGTAAGCAAGCACATTCTATAAATAGTACATATGAGATTCTAAATTACCTGCCTGTCATAAATCTCTCTCTTTAATATACCTAAAACACCCTCCCACCCAAAGATGCACACAGTAATTGCTCTAAAAGATAGCTCACATTAAACTTATTAGGCAGCATCCCTTTGAAAGGACTGAGCATTGCCTTAATGATTTGGCTAGTTGGATTACATTTTGGAGTATGATTTAGGACCTTGACTAGTGGAAATTTCAGTCTTTGCCAGTGACACCTGGAATACAAGAGATTCCTGACAGAAATTCCAGGAAACCTGGAGCCCTGACTGCACACTGGAATACAAGTACCTATTATCGCTACTTCATATCAACCGGAATTAGAACCCTAGGGGCAGAGACTGTTCTATCAAGTGAAGCACCATCATCATCTCCATTCTTCTCCCCCCGCCACCTAAAAGAGTCAAAACAAGCAGTGATAAAATGCAGGTCCTCGTGAAGATGACATTCTGGAGGGATCAAGGAAACAGCATAGGTACAGGAACAAAAACAAACACACAGACAAATAAAAGTCAGCAAAGAATGCCTTGAAGGAAATCAAAGAAGACGACAGGATAGGGAGTAAGGGGTTCAGGAGGGCTACTTCAGATGCGGGGAGATCAGGGGAGGCTGATAACATGGCTGGACACGTACATATATGGTGATGTGTGTATGCATACGACACTATATGGCTTAAACCAGAAGAAAGATTGTTTCCCAAGCCTGTGGGATGTCCAAATGGCGGCCATAATCACCTGGTGGGTAGCAGTGCTCTACCACTTTTAAACTCAAAAGGTGAGTTAATAATCAATCGAGAAATAAGAGGTCACTCTTTTACTTCTATATTTCCCTTTCCTGCTACAAATGCCTTCCTGAGTCAGCGAGGCCACCCTTGTTCTTTGCAAAGCAGAATTTAAAGCCCCTAAAACAAAACACCATAAAGTGGCGCCATGGTCATGAGGCGAACTCAGTGGTGCACCTTCACTAAGAATAACAATAGCTGTTGGGGGCAGAGATCATTACTGGGCTTATTGCTATTACCACCCAGCATGAGACAAAAATGGTTTAGAACCCAGGCACCACACGGAATACCAAGAGTCAGGCACAGGCAAAGATGAAGAGAACAGTCACTGCGCTGCCATGGCAGGCTGTCAAATGCTGCCTCAAAAAGAGCAACTCTGTGGATTTCAAAATATGAAATGCTCAGTCTTGAATTGTAATTTTCAGAACCGAGCAGCTGACTACTGAAGATACTGCTTTGCTCCCTGGCGGGGCTGGCTACTACAAAGCTGGCTTCCATAGGTCAAGTTTATGGGGCCATCACCACCTGCTATTTTATTACCATAAAATAGTGAGACCAGTAAATATCTGCACTCAAAAGAAGCGCAGGGTATACTTGTTAACAATGAAGATTCCCAAGCCCCAACCACAACGATTCTAAATCAGTGAATTTAGAATAAAAACTGAGGATCAATTTTTTTTTTAAAACTGACACCAAACTCAGTTTTCACATATGTAGTGTAAAAATCACACTTGGAAAAACAGATTAGACAACTCTAGAAATGTAGATTCAGTCCAAAAGGACAGTTTTCAAAATTTCATCATCCATTGAAGTTTTTATATATATGTATATGGTTATTTTCTTTTCACCACTTTATATTCCACAAAGCATTTGAGATGGCCCTGCTAATTCATATTGGGGAAATTCTCTGATCAGGTTGGAAACATTTGAAAGATGTCCGAAACAATATAATCTGCTGATTAAAAAAACAGAACTATAAAAATATCAACTTAAGCTAAATAATAATGGCAGTGATGTTAATAACCACATTCAACAATTCCTATATTAGTACTATACACCAAGAACTACGCCATCATCCTCACCACCAAAACTAACAAAACCATTAAAGATTTTAGCCAGGTAATTGGACATCAAAAAATAGTCACTATCAGAGTCAGAGAGTCTATAGCCATGGTGCCCAGCCCTGCCAGACTTTGTGCTTGTTGGTCTTTTTTTTAATTGTGCTTTATTTTATTATTATTTTTAATTGAAATATCATAAAATTCACCTTTTTAAAGTGTACAATTCAGTAGTTTTTAGAATATTTACAAGGTTGCAAAACCATCATCACTATCTAATCCCACAACTCTTCATCACCCCAAAAAGAAACCCTTCCCACTAGCAGCGCCTCCCCATTCCCTTCTTTCTCTAGCCCCTGGAACCACTCATCTACTTTCTGCCTCTGTTCAACGCCTGCTTGTATACGAATAGGAAATATTTTTAATCCCCCTTTCAGAATTCTGAAATGAAATTTTGAGATCATATAACCTCTATATTCATATAAGTATCAGGCATGGTTAGTATGTGCAGATTATCAGTCTGTGCACTCCATTTGATAATGGTTTGTGCATTCTCCCATGTTGCTAGTTAGGCCTCTGCAGCCTTACTTTCAAGGACTGAAGGAATTCCATCAAACAGTGCACCTAACTAGTCTGGTGTTGTTCGAATTTACATTTGAAGATTGAGTTTTGTGAAAACTAGTAACCAGGTTTAAATATTCGTGTTTTGCCTTTTAAGAAACAATTTCAAAAAGAAGTTACCTGTATTTATGTCCTTTTTTAACATCTGTGTATTTAGAAGCCTGGCATAGGGGTGCACAGCGGGGTGGAGGGACGCTGTGAGTCCTCTCTGCCCCTATCACATCCCATGTCTGGAACAATCAGAAAGCCAGCTCTTTCTTTTATCATAAAAAATTTGGTGGCAGTCCCTATAGGACATGTGCTCCTCAAAAGTACTTCCCAGCGATTGTATTTGAAAAGTCTCGTGGCAGCTATGTTAAATAAAGCCATATGCAAACTAAGATCAAAAGAGAATTATGTTTCTTTGGCATTGTTTGGTGCCGAGCATCACCTTATCTGCTCCCAGGGCATAAAATCTGATTTCGCAAAGTATAACATTAGTACCTCAGCTTGACTTGCTTCTGATTTCTAGCACCAGGGGAAAAAAAAGCCTTCTCTCTGATTTAGGCATAGGACACAACTGTGTAAGAATTTACATCTGTAGGAAGGGGGCTGAGAGCAGAATCTGCCAGGATTTTATTCTTTTATTTCGCTTTACTGGCGAGGCAGAGACCATCTTAATAAATCCTCCTTTCCTCTTCTAGCACACTTAAAAACCCATCTTTGAGCTCCACTGACTCTATTAGGTTAGAACTTGGGTATTAAGTACAAAGGGAGGAACAGTGTGGGTGTGGGGGTGGAGAGAACCACAGAGCGAGGACTGAAGGAGAGCTGTGCGGCTACCACACCCGGAGGCCCTTCACTCAAGAAGATGAGGCAAAACAGACCACGCAAAGGACCAGAAGGCGTGTCAAAGACACCCAGGTTTCAAATGGGACGCACCAATCCACACACAGCATAGGTGTTCTTTCCTAGACACTACCTCTCATGAACTCCTTTGACTTCAGTTTCTGTTAGGACACCTTGATTTAGTTTCTGTTTTAGCATTTGTACAATAATAATTTTACTACAAAAGGTAAATGCCTTGTAAACTAATGAGAAACATATTGCTTGGCATAGTTTATATTGTCAGGATTTATGGCTCTAACGCTGAGGGTCTCTCTGACCTCGAAGATAACGTAATGAAACAGCAATGTGCTGCAAATGGCTCAGTCTGATTTTTTATTAGTTCTCATAATTGCCCCTTATTAATTTGTATGCACATAATAAGCACTCACCTTCACAGTTTGTCCGGCTTCGGGGCCATCCTAGAAGTAGAAAAAAACCAACAGAGGTGAGAACAGATAGATGGTATCTCCTGCTTATTCAAAAATATCGTCTGTTAATAATTTAGATCCAATTTCATTGTGTGTTAATTTATAGTATTCTCATGGGGACCATTCACTTAAAATGTGTGGGACCAGACAGTTCTCCATTTCCACCTGAGAGTAAGTGAGACGTTATGTATAAAAATGATATAAATTATCCAGTAAGCCAACCCCGTGCTACTTTTCATGCTCTTTGCTCTTGGTTGTGGTTTTAATTGCACTAAAGGAAAGCTGAAAACGTTTGGGGAGGTGAAGTATCACACCTTTTGGTTATCTTTAAATCAGATGTAGTTTAATTGATGTCTGATTATTTTAAGTCTCTACTAAGGAAATCTGCTGTAAACATAACCCATTAAGCAAGAAGATGGTGTGTCTCATATGGGAAGAACGTCCAAGAGTGGGCCCTCTCTGGCTGTTGTGATCCTGGGGGAGAAAGCGGGAGCGTTGATTGTATCTGGGCCCTTTTCCCATCCTGATTCAGTCTCAGCTTTCTGAAGCCCAAGAAAACTAATTGCTTAGTAGAAAATGAGCAAACTCGCCCAATCACCAGTCACAATACAAGCAAGTACTAGCTGGTTTGGGATAGCAGAACAAGCAACATCTCTACAATGAGAAAAAAATTCCAAAATTGAATTAGAACTTTGCAACTTTAGGCAAGTCTTTCTACCTCTACGACTCAGACTAAGGGGGTGAGAATTCTTGCCCTGCTGTGGCTAGGATGAAGCAGAACTATATAGTCAGTGGTTTTCAAACTTGGAGTCACAACCCATTAGGGGGTCATGAAGTCAACTTAATGAGTCGTGATCAGCAGTAAAAACAAAAGAAATCATATAACAGAACAAAAACTACTAGAGTACATAGAATGGGTAAACATTGTTTTGTGAAACTTTGGTTTCATTTGTCTATATATGTGTATGTTGTGGAGGATATACATGATTTTGAAACAAATACACATCTTATGTGGGTTAAAGTCTAAAAAGGTTTGAAAAGTCTGTATATATGAAAGTACTCTAAGTGTTATGCACAAGTCAGCTCCTTTATTGATGAAATTAATTTTCTAGTGAATCATGTTAAATAAGCAGCACTGGCCATTTTTTATGAATGTAAATTTTCTTCTAGTATTTCATTAAACACTGACAGATGGCTTCACCCACTTGCCTTCATTTGGTCTCTTTGGAAACATGATTTGTGGCATAAGCTTGATGAATCCACCCTGGGCTTCACTACCTGCTTGAAGGTGACTCAAATAGCTTGAGGTCCAACACACACACACAAGGTATTTTACAGGGAAGTTTAGATAGTCTCAACACAGACATGGCAGCAAATTTTTTGTTATGAAACAGATGAGTATTTTTAGTCAGAGCCTTTTATAACCTGAAAACAGTGGCTTTGTTTATCTGTTCTCTCTGAAGGTCTATGGTGGAGAGCTGAGGACGGGAGAGGAAGAGTGATAAATATTCAGTTTAACAAAAGCACTGAGGACAAGGTCTCACATCATGGAATGATCCATTTCTTTCCACAGGGTTATTGCAAAGTCGTTAAATGTCAAGGCCACAAAGAACTTTAATTGTGTATTGATATCCTCAGCTCTTTCCACAGGGGTTCTGAAGGAGCCCATGGTACCTTACTATTGATTTACTCAATTCCCACAGCTCATGATCCACCATGGGCCTCCTCCTCCCAAGTGTTGGTTCAGCCTCTGCCTAAAAATCACCAGCGACTGGGGATCTCTTTTCTTTACTGAGAAGTGGGCCATACAGAATAGTCAATCAATCCAGCTTTTTACCAATCCATAGCCAATCACTGCTTGAATTAAAGAATTAAAGAAGAGAGGCTTGAATTAAGGAGAAGGGTCAGCCCTCTAAGGGGAAGGCTCCACCTAACTTGCATATCTCTACCCCCCAGTAAGTAGATCAGGGCTGAGCCCATGCAGCACTCAAAACATATTTACCCTGGAATAAATGGTATTTATTTATTGTCCAGGCCCAGTTCCAGTAAAAGATCTGGAATGTTTTAATGCCCATTAAATCACTTGTCCATTACTCCCACCTGCTTTGTAAACAACACTGCAGACATCGCCTCAGCTGATATTCCACAGTCCACCTTAGGGCCTATGGACAGTGGGGCAGCCCTGGATTAGGAACTTTTTTTTCTGCCATTATATAAAACACAAACAATTACAGCTGCCTTCCCAGTGAGATGGCAGCTTAAAAGGGAGAGAGCCCAAAGCTAGGATTTGAAAAGGAAGAAAAATAATTTCCGAGCTCTCTGTACACTCACCTGCATGGAAAAGGTGAGAGAAGTCCCCTGGAAATGCTTCTCCACCACTGTCCCCACTCTCTGGGTTGCCTGAAACAAATCAGCCACTTCCTCAGGACGCAGGTCTCGGAAGCGCTCCACTGGCCGAAGGGGACACACCAGGACATCTGCAGTGAGGTCTGTTAAGGCACATTCTGCTGGCTTTGGGTAGTATTTTTACCAAGAAGTTTATACCCATAGAATTGAATCCCCTTGGCCCAGGGCCTGAACTCTCAAAGACTAAGGAATAAAAGAACAAATATTTACCAACCACTGATTTCCAAGGAGTTCAAAGAGAGCTTACAAACATGGTTAATTATACTTTGAAGGAGAAGCTGTGGTGCGCCAAAGAAATTCCTTTAAGAAAAAGGGACATTAGTGTACAGAGAGACACAAGTGCTGGCTGATATTATTGTGCCATGAGGCAAGATCTATTCTGGACCATTATTTCCTGACACCTGCTTTAAAGCTCTCTCTTCTCAAGCAGCCAAAGGCACTAGGTTAGAAAAGCAACTGGAATATCCAGTTGGTTTCTCTGCGTAGAGCATCGCGATTAAAATTTTAATTTGAATATCTCTTTAGAGAAATATGTAATGAGAACACAATAGTAACAGTTTTATTTATTTTATTTTATTTTTAAAAGGAGTGTACACATTCTGAAAATGTACTAAGAACTTCATCTGTAACCGAGAGATGTACCACGTGGTTAAGTAATTTATGGCAAGGGTTCCTCAGACTGATTACTGAGCATTCAAGAGGACAGTTAAAGTTAAATCATTAATTTAAGAAAACGGCTGTCTGTTTATACAAACAACACCATCTTAATGCTTTCTGTAAGTTAGACAAGTCAACATGTTTACATTGGTCTGGACGAATAACAAGGTCTAGAGAAAAAAGATGTAAGTTTGATCATTTGTTGGGATCATATAAATATTCAACGTTACATCATCAATAACATTTCAGGTCCTTTTTGTATTTGAACTCATCATATATGTGTGAGTAAATACATATATACGTATGCATACATATGTATACACATGCACATACATACATTAATTTTCGTTTAGTTTTCAGGTACCAGTAGGAGAAAAAACACTCTAATGCTCTTTCTTTCTTTCTTTTTTCTTTTTTTCTTGTTGTTCTAGGAGAGCATGCTTCTGCCTGGATCTAAGCAGCTAAGGGGCATAATAAAACCACAATTCTGCAATTGCTAGTCTCACCAGAATATCAAGCATTTTAGCCCATCATACTGTTAGTAGAACTCAGGGCCCGAGGGGAAATGCACTGAGCTCAGCTGGGCGGGCCTGATTTCTGTAAGAGAAGGGGGAAAAAAGAAAGGGGAAAACTGATTAATTTTGCTCCTAATAAAAAAAATTCATGTCAATAGTAAACTAGGAAAAGGAGCATTTGTTTAATCTGAGTTCATTTTTCAACAGAGGAAAAGGGAGGCCTTCACCCACAGGGCATCTGATACTTAAAAAGATAATTATCCTTCTTTGGCAGGGCTGCTTTATTATCATGGGTCAATGAACCGTTTAGAAATGAAGAATTTCCTTTCATTTCCTTTTAGCAGATTGCCAGCCTCCACTCCCACTGAGTTGCTTTTTCTTTGTTAAAAGAGACCTTTCCCCATCTTCCTCCTCCTTGCTTTAATTTACACTCTCCCTTAGGCCCTGACTTCACCAAACCACAGCAAGACAACAACTTTGCAGGCTTCCAACAATATCCATAATTGCCCTGGTAGGCTATGTCTACACACAACACCTAGGTGGGGAAGGAGGGACATTTTATTTAAACAATTGCTTACTGTGAAAACCGGTGCAACGAATGAACAATCTTTGCATCTAACGTAACTTTAGTAATGTCAATGACATCTGACAGGTTTTGTTTCTTCAGTGCCATAAAAAAAAATCCTATATTATCTGTCCATTTTGCTCGTCTGATGCAAAGGATTGTCTAGACTCAGTGTTTCATGAATCAAAATGTTTATGGAATTGAATCAAAATGGCTGAATCTATCAGATGTTTTATCCTGTGCACACTTAACCACAGGGTTGTATATCATATATATTTGTTACTTTCATTGGACATTGTTAATAGTAATACAACATGTCACTAAACAGTTGAACAAGCTAAACACATTCTCAGTTGAACATTTTTGACCAGCCCATTTAGCCAACACTGTCCTGACATGTATACTCCCTGCAATCCAACCCTTTGTTAAAAAGACATCTTACCTGTATATAATCCACACACACACAGACACACACACACACTTATAGGCAAATGATTACAAGATGAAATAGAGGTGACTTTCGAGAGTGTCAGCTCAGGCAGGTGTTCGTGTAAGTGATCATTGTCTTTGTTCTGTTGGGACCCAGAGGATGGCCAAACAGGCATCTCAGCCTGGAAACAGCCAAACAGATAGGCTCCACAGGACTCTACAGGGAGGTAAATGGGTCTGGAGTCACACGGGGTGGGATCAGGAGCTCGTGTGTATTATATGAATAGTCGACCTGGCCAACTGCAGACTCACTATCTAACACTCTCTTTAGGCCATTCTAGGCACTAATTGGGCAGCAGAAAGTCAGGATCAACCTGAGTTGATCTACCCTGAGTTCCTTTAAAAGTGGAGCAGAAAAGAGCCTATGTCTTAACCTTACCCCAGGCTACATCCTGACTGCTGCCTACCTACTTCCAGAACCTCCTCTTTCCCCACCCCTCTCCTGAATACTAAATATCTGCCACATTTGCCTCTTTCTGCTCCTCAAACACACTAAGCTCCTTGCCAGATATGGGGTCTTTGTCCTGGCTGTGTGTTCTGCCTAGAATTCAATTCCCCATGATCCTTCCATGGCTGCTTCTTTCTTATCATTCAGATTCTAATTCTGAAGCCACTCTCTCAGAGGAGCACTGTACCTGCTTACTCACTCTTACGTCACCCTACTTTACATCTTTTCATAGCCCTTGCCACCAGCTGGTAGTTTTCTCGGTTGGTTACTACCTACCTGGATGAGAATGTAAGCTCCACAAGAGCAAAGACTTTGTCCTGTTTACTGCTGTTTCACTCCTGCCTAGAGCACCAGAAACACTTAACAAGCATTTGCTGGAATGAATGAATAAATAATAAACCAGATCCTCATATCAGCCACCTCTGAGTACTAAGACCCTGACAAAATGGAGACAACATTCATTTACGTTTTAATCATCTATACAAGATTAGGATAGTCTGCAAGATTTTTTTTTAAGCCAAAGAGGTTTATCTTTAATATCTAGCATAGTTGGAACTAACGTTGGATCTGAGCTGGAGAAATGTAAACTCATCTTTAATGTAAACTAATTTTCATACGAGCCCAAAGAAAATATAATTATGAAGGTAAAAATCCTGTTTTAAAAATGTTTTTATAACTAGAAATAAGTAGTTTCTAGATTGTTCAGTCTCAGGTAAACTATGTCTATAAAAATGCTGCTTTATATTATGACTAGGAAATGTGAGTCATTTGTTCATTCAATAAACACTGATCACCAGTTAAGTGTGGATACCGTGCTAGGCTCTGGGAATAGCAAAGGAGAGTAAGAAGTTGCTCCTGCTCTTCTAATCCAGGAGACAGGCATTGCAACAGATAACTCGAGTCCTACGGGAGGTAGAGATGGAGCAGATGGGGCTCCAGAAGCAGAGCAGATCTCCCAGTGCAGCAGGAACCAAGAGGTCCAGCGTGACCATGGGTAACCCCTGAGTGGGATGGGTTATTCTGCAGCTAGCTGAAAATGTAAAGGGGTTCATAAAGGGTTTAAAGCAGGTCAGTAAACTTTTTCAGCAAAGGGCCAGATGGTAAATATTTTAGGTTTGGTGGGCCATATGCCTAAGCAGCCACAGACAACACAAACACTAATAGGTGTGGCTATTTTCCAGTAAACCTTTATTTACAGAAAGAGAAGGCAGGCCAGATTTGGCCCATGGGCTTTAGAGTGTCAACCCCTGATTTAGAGGCATCACATTGGAAAGGGGTAACTAAAAGTAATTATAAGTATTTGGGGGCCTATTCCTCTTTTCCTAAGTTGAGCACTATAAAGCTACCTTAATAGCGCATTGGATAAAGATCGTGATGGTATATTAAAAAAATTAACTTTCTAATAAAAATCTCTGAGCATGGTAGAGCATTTCCACGACCCTGTGTAACACTTCCAATGCTTTTAAAGACTAATCACAACCAGGAAATGTGTTGTGGTATAAATACATGCATAAATCATGAGTATTACTCCCTGATGCAACTAAAGGAATTTCTGCCATCTCTAATTGGAAAAACGAAGCATATGATCTGAAAACACATGAGAGCACCAAAATGATGTGTTATTCACAAATTCATCTCAGTATAAAAGTATTTTCTCAAAATAAGTGTATACGCCTTGGAAGAAAACACCATATTGCTTGAAGATGGTGAGTATCATGTGCTCCATGTTGTTCCTAGAGAAGCAACTCAGGGAAAGCAAATTAACTTTGAGGAACAGCAGACAGCTCTTGTAATTCTACTTCCACTGTTTACATGCCAGTTCTTTTAAGATAATATCACAGACGTGGCGTAATTTAATTTGGAGACTCTTAGGCCTTGTTAATGGGCAAATCCCATATTATACATAGGCTATAAGAACAGTTTCTCCTGGGTCCTCTTTGCTTGAGATTAACACCTCTAAAAAGACTTTTTAGCCAATGCGTGTGAGAATCCTCAAAAAAGTTAATCTACTCAATTGAATTTAATATATGTTTATCCAATACTCATCTTGTGTGAAAACCTGTTAAAGAGATTATCCAATGGGATCTGGTCTCCCCTTATAATCTAAAGTAGAGCTATCCATTTAGTAATGACATTTTCTTAAAGAAGAGAAAGGCAATAATTACAATTTAGTTCCTACGGTAGACAAAAAGATTCCTCAGACAAGAGGAGAATCAAACAGATTTCTTGGTGCAGGTGAGATTTAAAGTGGACTTTAAAAATGGAGGAGTAATTCAACCCATTGGTTGGCTGGCAACCCATTTATCCATCGGTCCCACAGCTAGAGCCTCTTCTCAGTCTGGGGTTTGTGCTAGGAGTTAGGATGCCAAGATGAATATGACAGAGTAACTGACCTGG